ACAGGGCTACACTTAGAGACAGACAACCAAACACACTCACATTCACACCTACGGACAATTTAGAATCACCAATTAACCTCAACATGTTTCTGGAGGAAGCCGGAGAACCCGGAGAGAACCCACGCTGCACGGGGAGAACATGGAGACTCCACGCAGAAAGATCCTGGGTGTCCTCACTGGGACGCTAACTGGCGACCTTCTAGCTGTGAGGCAATGATGCTAACCACTGATCCACCTTACAGCCCCCACTTAACATGATACCCCCCAAAATTAACCATAATGATTCAGAGCAAATCGGCTGCCTGGAGGTGAAAAACAAAAATTAGTGTTGCACTGAGCGGTGTCTTGCATTCACAGATTGATTCAGTGAAGTGATCTGAAATATGATTTAAGTTCCTTCCTTAAAAGTAGGTGTTATCGATATGATTTTCTTTTTCTTTTTTTCAGCAGTTACCTCCAGTTGTAGGTGATTATATTATCATTGAGGTCTAATTTTAAAGCTTCCCTTTATGTGAAGGTGTTTTTTTTAGTCTGCTTCCTGGGTGTGTCTTCTGTTTTTTTAAACCCTGCTTTTACTTTTATTGTTGATTTAAGCTTATATTGCACCTTTCATCCACTTCCCCATTTAGTGTTAATAAATGCATCACGTATATTATCATGACTTTTATTTATAGTTATGTAGCAGAGGATACGTTTCTCTTCTGCCTTTTAGCTTCTGTACTGAGCAGTTAGGAGATCTGAGTGTTTTCCAAGGCTTAAAAAAAAGAAACCTCATGAGCGCAGGCTTAATGAAACCACTGTGTCTGACAAGTACGCTCAGTTGCTTTGATAGAACGTACATAAAAAAAGTGAATGGAACAGACCGAAAAAGTAGTGGTTGTGAAATGGTTTCAGCCCAGCCGTGCTTGTGTTTCCTCAGGAAATCAGCACAGTAACATCGCTGGCTTCACTGGCCCGCGGCTGTTCATCTCTAACAGTGAGATTAGTAGTTTTTCCTCATGGGGAACAGCAGTCGAAGCAGCTGACTCAGCAGGTTCCCAAAATGAGGAAATATTAAAGAGACTTCGCTTTCAGCGCTCTGAACCAGGATGGCTCTGGCAGGAAGTGAGTGTGTTCCTTTGGGTTGAAATGCATCGGCATTTTTAGTGAAGTGAAAGTTTTTTTTTTTAATTAGTCAAATCCGTTTGCCGCTTGTGAACATATTTTCAATACTACCATGTTATTTTCTTGCTCTCTATTCATTCAGAGGTCACTGGTGATTATTTTTGGCAGTCGTACAAGCGGTCTTTTATCACTCTTATGCTGCACTCCCAGATTTCTTGTAATACATCCAAAATACTGTCACTTCTTTATAACCAGAGCTTCCACTGGAGCCGCCAGTGGTCCTGTGAGTATTTACGGTACTTAGACCAAAGACATGTGGTGTTATGTGCCCCGTGTCTTAACGCAGTACAGCGAAGGTTGTCGGGGTTTTGAGAAGTCACGTCTGTTTTCTGCGGCAGACAGCCCGTCAGTGCCAAGCCGACTCTGACTCTTGGCTGACACGCGCATTCACAAGCAGCTCTGTCCCAAATGTCTCGCAGAAAGAGCATCTCCAGAACCATTAGCCCATCCCTCTCCTTCCATTTTGTAACGTCAGTCCTTGAAATTGATACTTGGCCCGTCCAAACTGCCCGATCAGAAGATATGAATGGTGAGTCACCCTGATGAGTGGTTGCCACCATGTCTGCCGCCGTCCGCTCGTTCCACCGCAGGGTACATATCTCATCTTTTATATGACATTTAGCAACGGAGTTTTTGAGCCACTTCAGGTATTTGTGGTGTTGAAGTACTTTGCATTAGGTTGGTTATGATACTGTGTGTTTTGTTTGCTAGATAATCAGTAATTCCGGGCAGGCTTCAGGTGTAAGCTGCCTGATAGTCAGCCTCACTCAGCTGAAGGAAAACCAGAGCTGATAGATCAAGGTCACAAATCTTATAAAGGACTCTTAATGCTGACGTCCAGTACAGAAAGCTCTGCCGGCTGAATAGCGAGCAGGACGGAGAGGCTTTCACATATTAGAATCCAGCTTTCATGTTTTAAGTCCACATCTGTCAGCAGCAGCAGCAGCAGCCAGGAAGCAGGTCTGCAGTGAATTATTTCTGTGTAGCATCTAGTATATCGATTTCCTGACTGGTGTTATGTAACTAGATATTGTTTTGCAGTTGACACCACACCAGCCCGTCACCTCACCCCTCAACTAATCTCACATGTCAGTTTTTTTGCTCGCCCGTCTCACCCTGTATTGTGATTTACTATGTTGTGTGCTCCTGGAGTTACAGCGCTGCTCTCGTCTTTCTCCCCACAGCTAAAAGCAAAGAACCTGAGAGAGTGACGGATGCTAAAGTCAATAGAGGTGAGTTCATCTGTACTTCTGTGACATTATGAAAGTGTTGCATAATTTTGTTGAACTACATTTTGAGAAGATGAAATGACTGCAGACACAGAAGTTTCATTATCGAGCCTGACATTGGATTTTTGGGGGCTGATACTGATTTTAGTGGGTAACAAACTATGAAAATATTAGCTCATGTCAGGGATAAAAGTAGACCAATATAAAAAATAAGGACCTCTGAAATATTTTCTTGTTATTTAGATTATCCTCTTTGGGGAGATAATAC